AACATTATTAGTAAATTATTGGAGTGTATGTTTTTTTGGTAGGAATCTATAGTTGGTGGAAATGAATCCATGAAAGCTATGCCTGCTCCACCTCAAGAGGAGACTATCAAGAAAGATTCATTAAATAAATATAGGTAATTCCAAACAAARCATAAAATTTTTATTTTATTAATTTTATGAATTAAATAAAATCATATTTTAGTAATGAAGAAGAAAAACTATCTAAGCAAAAAAATAATTCCTATAAATATGAATACGAACAAGAAAATGTCAAAGAAGATGGTGAGATAGACAGTATGCTATGTTTTGTTTATTAAAAAAAAAAATCAGAATAAGAACAATATGTGATTTGTTAACTAAATTTGATTTATGCGTCAGTTTTTGTTAGATAAATTAAAAGATATTATATATTATTATCATTCTGCATAAAGTATATAAGTACATATTTTAGACTGTTTATAACTTTGTAAGTAAATTATGAGAATTTTCCTAAGTGTGATTTAAYGTTTTTATTTTTGAACGACAAATGAATGTTACTTGTCAACAGTGTCAAATTGAGGAAGATCACACAATTTAATAGTTGGTTACATATTGTCCTCATTCTAAAATATAACATCATATTCTTATACTTACGATTAAAGTATGTTTTATTAATTTCATTTAAAAAATAATTTTTACATAGGCTTTATCGCAATGTTTAGTAAATTATAAGCACATAATTACTATGTTTTTATGATGGCGTTAAAATGCTCGAACTATTTTAAAGTCAATTAAATTTCATACTGTTTTAACGTGATGACGTAAACATAGTAAATGATRGTTAAACTATTTATTAGACTTATCTTTTAAATTTAATGTACAATTATTTTTTGTAGATGACGAAGATATGAATGATTTTGATACAAGAGAAGATACACATCAACAAGCAAATAATTAAATTTATATTAGTCATTTAAAGTAGGTACCTTTAATAAATTTAAATATTTAAATTGAGAAATCTATTAATTGTATTTTGCTTTTTTAAGTTTAACATGATTATCAGTTTATCACCAATCTTGTTTTTTGAAAAGCTAAATTAATATGCAGTTTTTAAGTAATTATTTATTACATTTTTTTTTTTATTGAGTCTCATATATTATATTATAATTGATAAAAGAAGAAAAGAAAAGAATAGAATTTAATTATTATCATTGTGTCATACTTAAGATAATTCAACCAGCTTTATTTATAAAATTAATTTATGGTTGAAACTCTTAAAATAGTATTAATTTATTATGAAGTGGTTTGATTTATAATCCTTCAAACGTTTTTTACTTTCATATATTATTATTTTTTTTTTTTTTGATGTAAATAAATACTTTATTATAAAATGTCTATACTAGTGTATAGTAAATAAAGTTGTGTCAATGTATCATATTAAATGTTAATCTAAATCTTACAAAATGTTTTTTAATTGTTTTCAATTATTAATTACCTTGATGTTCTGATTCTAAGTAGCTAATTATAAGGAAATATATTAGTTTTACAATAATATAAATAAAAATATCAATAAAAATGTATTTGTTCAGTGATAAGGTTATATGGGGTGTTTCATTAAAATCGCCAGATTTAATTTGCCTGGCATTTTTAATTTTGTTTATTGGCTAACTTGTTTCTTTTATAAAAAATTAAGTTATAACAAGATTAAATCTGGCG